AGGCTAGGACAGATTAAAAATAGCTTACGACTTCGCAAGGAATGCAGTAATTTCTACTAAACGTGGTTAACTTTCAGAGAGCACTCTTCGTGAAATACCACCCAACCTTTTGCACTACTTTTCAAGGGATTGCATTGCTGTTACAGTTCGTCTTGCAGAAGATACTTGGTCCGTAATTGACAGACCAGTCCACGATATATACTACTGTTAACCACATAGGTAGTATTCGCCCAAGGATACAAATTAAATGTATCATTTGTGTTCGAAAAACGTGGGCTCTTCAACCTCCATGATTTAGGTCACTAGCTTGATGCCTTGGCATTTCGTTCATCCCTATACCCAGGTCTTATTACCTCTTCGAGGGGTAAAGTAAGCTCCTCTAGCGTTTCACTTTTTAAAATGACCGCAATCCTGCAGCTTGTTTCTCATCTGCAGTACCTACTAGCACTCCACCCTGTAGACTATCCAGCAACACGGCAACAAGCATTAAGGAATTGCCTGGCTGCAAAAAATTGTCCAGGTGACATGTACAGCTTTTGCTTCTCCTAATTTCATTAGCCAAGTAAACCCTTAGAAGTAGGGACAAATATTTGCCCTACAGCGCTTTAGGGGTCCCCATGGACTGACACGTCTTTTGTGCAATCCTTCATTACTTTCCCGATAGGAGAACAGACCGATCTTGTTCTACTGGAGCGTAGCATCCTAGCTCACCTTCATTTATGAATACCTGACTTGTCAGCCATGACGACGCATTGATTGAGCATCTAATTTATTAAATTCTAGGGAGAGCACTCGAATTGGATGCAAAGATGGTGAAATCTTCGAGCTCTGCCATCGTGACCTTTGCTACTGAAAGAGATGCGCCTCTGAGGTTGCATTTCCGTCAATAAATCCGGTAAACAAGTTCAGTGCTGTTTGACAGCGTGTCTGCTTGTCATCGTGCCGAGTGCATGGGTCATTGGCGCTGACGGGCATGGACGGACACACATCAAAGTAATATGTGGACTTTTGTTCCTAAAAATTGTATCTAAATGCTTTGATTCTCAAATTAGCCATAAGTTTGTACTATATTTTGCAGTTCTAGTTTAATGACTCATTAAAGTGATGCTTGGGTTTGGCCATTTACAGTCTTCTTGGTGCCAAATTTTCCCCGCTTTTGCAATCTCTATGAATGAAGTGAACTTTTTCCTCATAACAGCTCCCATTTTGTCGATCTTCATTAAGAGAGTTTGGCTTTGGCGGTTCGCACTTTTGATGCAGCCATTCAAAGAGGATTTTCAGTCTGTAGTGACCGCATTACACTTTTGGAGTGATTTTGCTGGAAAATAGGCATTTAAAATTTTCACAGCGGGTTTTTTGGGTCCCCTTTAAATTAGATGACACACCCGTGTCAGGGTGCTTGGCATAAGTCATCCACACCAAAAACCTCGCAGCCGTCTCTGCGCCATAGGTAGAGTACTTTGGGAGATGGCTAGGGGTATGGAGCATATTCATTTCAATTTCAGAAGTGCAGGCTGGCCGAGTTTTCAAAGGTTAGCTCACAAAACAGAGCAGTTTTGTAGTTTAAGAAGGACTGATGCTTTGGCCGGCGATGTCACCCCATGAAAATGTATTAGCAACAATTTTTGGCATTTCATATGCGACAAAGTTGGAGGGGTAAAACTGAACCCAAAGCTGCCGCAAAGAAAGCGAAGTCACCTCGACTGTAACGTTTGAAGCTGATAGTCAAAGGAAAAGTGGATTTCATGTGGCTTTAATGTGTGCATGAAAAAGTCCTCAACTTAGGGCCAACTGTTTCTACTTAACACCCTTGATGAGTGTGAGATCGGTTGTATTTGAAACCATGATCCTCCAACATTTTGGCTCAGGGATGGGCCAAAGGCCATGAGCTAGCATGCAGTCATTAATCAGACACACACTACGGAGATTTTACAGCCATTTTAGCTGTCTGGTCTCGATGCCGATGGATGGGTGCCCACTGTAAATGTTTGGCTGAAGTAGCAGTATATTACATGATTAGGCAATCAGCTAGTGGGTACAGGCCTGGAAAATCCTCTTTCGGTCAACTGTGGCTCTTGCAATCAACCCTGTCTACACTACAGCCGTGTACTTGAAGTGATACCTCACCTTACTTCGTAGTAGTCCACAAAATTCGTCCTTCGTTTAAGCTAAGTT